GTCATGCATATCTCATCAGCCATGTCCGGATTCCCTAAGGTGAATTTAAATTAAGTTTTGCAGTTTCGCATTGTTCACATCATCAAACGGAAGTTTCCGGAGAGAAAGGAAAGACAAACACGTTTTTTTTTAAACCAGAAGCAAATTTCACTTTCATGATTCCCGCTTCGCATATCAACTGAGGTCAGCAACAATAGGTCAGAAATCATAAGACGGACTTCTATGAAAAAGAACAAAAACGCATATTTGTTGTAAAGGCTTTTCTATTCGTAAGAAAATTATAAATATATTTAAAAACAAATATAAATAAACTTCGATTAGAAATAAAAAGTATTTAGATAGCAAGAAGCATTGGGTCAACCTTTGAGGGAAATTTTAATTAAAAAAAAGACAAAATACTGCCATTGCATTCGCTACCTCGTAGCGAATTTAACTGAAGTGTCGGAAAATTGGGAAAAAAAACTACCCCTAAAGTAGGATGTGTGGGTAGTGTTATAATTATCGTCACTAAAAGTGGTGTTGGCGGATCGAGTTCAAATTGCAACCAAAGTTGTTCCGTTCTTTTTCATGCAAGTCCCATTGGTTTACTAATCCATCTCTTCTCACATCCAGCTATGTCTTAACAGCAGGACCAACTGGATTATTAATCTTAAGTTAGCAAATGATCTAGGAGGAGGGAAAGTCTGAATTCAAAACCGGCGGAGAGTCAAGCAAACAACGCCACACCGTGAGGTAAGTCTCTCTCTCCCTATCTCTCTCTCTCTCTGTCTCTCTCTCTCCCCGATGTTTTTGTCCCTCTCGAAATCTCCGAGAAACGATGCTACGACTCGAGTCACTCGTGAAATGCCTTATTTTATCAGCTAAAAAGAAAGTTGTTGATGCGGTCTATGATGTAGCATTGGGATCCGGAGAATTTTAAGCCAGAGACGACATGAAACACAACCCAAACCAGTTCAGTGGGATATGGGAAATTCTCAAATCAATGCATTGTCAGATATCCGGTCGTAGTTCAATGATGGGCGTAACAAGAAAAAACTTTCACTCACTCATTTTTGAAGGTGTTAAGAAGTCTCTTCACACCCAAGCGGATCACCCCCCAAAATTTCCGTTAACGTCGCGTCACGTGAGTTGGCTGTACTTAAATTCAGGTGTCATGCATGAATTGTGGTGGCCGATCGCTAGGCGAATTGTTATTTCTTCAGTGCTAAACTGTAAGAAACTAACAACTCTATTATCTGTACTTCTGTAAAATTAAACATAAGAGATAAATTCTCTGTAAACATTTAGTTTAGCAGTAGGGGTTCACCTCAACGTAGCGTAATGGTTAATACGCTAGCCTTGTTAGATAAATTACGACTGAGTAGTGCGTTCGGTCCTCATACATTCGGCCTTGTGCCACATCTAAGCTATTTAGAAAATCAACATTTGATTCGCCAGTAGTTCAATCCGAACACGGATGCAAATATTAAAAATTGCATTTAAATGGAATAAAATTAAAAATACAGACGTGATATATATATATATATATAAATATATATATATATATATATATATATATATATATGAGTGTATTTCAAGACAGTAGACTGAAGCACCGTGATCAGATCCGCCAAGCTCTGAAGCATAGACGCCATCAAAATCCTGCTTCAACAAATTTCATCTGTCAGTGTAGCATTGTCGCCCGCAGCAAGGTTTGGCTATTATCGCACTTAAGAAATCAAAAATAAAATATGTCTTTCCATTACCTGATTTTCTCAACAATAGCCCCTGCTAGCATGCATAAGTGCAAAAAGAAAGGCACCATCCACTCCGGACCCTCATTTATCGTTCACGATAGGAGAGTCCAATGTCCAATTAAATCATTAACCTTTGTATTTGTTTTTTGTATGAATACTTCATGAATATATATATATATATATATATATATATATATATATATATATATATATATATATATATATGTATATTAATTATTTCATCACAAACAAAGCGATAGTTTCAATAACACGCAGGGGGGGTTGTGGGGGGTGAAAGGAAATGAGAAAAATTACGGATGATAAAGGACAATAAAAACAGGATTCAGAAAAGCAACCCACCCGGTGCCGTACAAACTTCGTCCCGTTGACGCGTGCTGATGTCGCTAGCGAAGAGGTTCGTATATGTATAATACGCCACATATATCTTCAAAAACGCATAATACATATTACTTATAATACATTCCTTCGTGCCATCAATTATGACGGCATGTGCACACTAGTATATATATATATATATATATATATATATATATATATATAAAAGGTGTGTGTGTGTGTGTGTGTGTGTGTGTGTGTGTGTGTGTGTGTGCAATTTTCGACGGATTTTGACACCCAAAATTTACATGCACATGCTCCAAGTTAGCCGGAAGGCCAAGACGGACTTTGCATTTCCCAACTTCCATCGATAGTGGAAATAATCGAATTTTTTCATGCTTTTACGGCAATTTTCATGTAGTTTGCGGACATTTTCTACTGGCCAGAGTGAGAACCTATGGCTGGCTGCCACGAATAGGCAGGAAGATTCTATTGGCCAGCGTGAGACCCAACAGCTGACTGACACGAATGTTAACTAGCGTGCTAGCATGCAAAAAAAATCGATAGCTGCATTCGTCACAAGTGGGAAAAATTTAAATCCGCATGGCACTTTACTCCAATTGGCTCATTCGCTTGCTTAAACTCAACGTTGATTTTGATTCCGCAGAACTGGGTTTTGGTGTGAAAAAGTATTTGTTGTTAACATTCTTTTTTCATATCAGTTTTTCCAGTTACGAGTCTTTTTTTAAAGCTGATCGTTTTGTGTTCATTTTGTTCAGTTCTTTTTTCGTAACAGATTTAATGTTTAGTATAGAGCTTAGAAAAAATTCGCAGTGAAGAATAAGGCATGTAGCAACATCAGCACGGCAAATGGCACTCCTTTAAAGGAAAGGAAGGGCAAAAATATTTTAAGTCAAGTGATAGCGATTGCTGTATGAGTCGTACGATTTTTGAATCAAGCATGGGCAACGCCGAGCCATGCTGCTAGTACATATATATATATATATATATATATATATATATATATATATATATATATATATATATATATATATATATATATAGTTTTAAGGTGTGCTATATTTATGGGATAAGGTGTTCAGTATCAGAGCGTATGTAAATATCAATATAAAGTGAACACTGAAGTCAACATCCAGAGGCGACAGTCTGTTTTATGCTAGACGTAATCGTCAGGCCAGGAGTTTGGGATTTTTCTCGGCTATTTATATATATGGATCAATGGGGCATTGTGGGTAATCTTTTATGTGCTTCCCATACTTAATACTTCTCGTTTTCACTTTCACGTGGTCATGTGTGACGTCATGAACTGCGTTGCGATTTTCGCTTCCATCGTCTCGTATACACGAGTTAGTCGTTGCCTTTAAATTTTTCATGCAACAAACAGACTATCATTATTGTTTCATCCGTATATTGTTTGATATATTGAAAAGTAATTGTCATCTTTGATAATGGCTTATGTAAGACGGAAGATTAGATTGGATTTAAACATATATCAATATGATGATTTCCTTTCGTCTTTCAATGATAATGTTATTAATCCTGTCAGACAATATGAAAAGAAACTTACTTAAAATAGACAAAACTTGTCTATATTATTTAATGAAACATGCATCAATATATATATATATATATATATATATATATATATATATATATATATGGGGAAATATAGTTTTGAGGTGTGCTATATTTATGCGATAAAGTGCTCAATATCAGAGATAGAGCGTATGTAAATATAAATATAAAAGAATATGAATGTTCAATATGAACATTGAAGTCAACACTCAGAGGCAACAGCCTGTTTCATACTGGACGCAACTATCAGGCAGCCTGACTATTGCGTCTAGCCTGTCGTCTCTGAATATTGATTTCAATGTTCAATTTTATATATATATATATATATATATATATATATATATATATATATATATATATAGCATCTTTAACCTTCAAAACGATTTGTGGAAATGCATTCTGCAATTTCGTTTTCCACAAGTAATAAGAAAAATGGAAATTTTGATGGAAACATAGAAAAATGTCCTTAACTGCCATTTCCTCAGAGAGGAGGCAACAGAAAAATGCTGATAATGCCATAGACAGAACATATGAACAACGAGGAAGTTTTAAGGAAACTGAAAAGAAAAGGGACACTTTTATTTAGAATCCGTAAGAAAAAGTTGAAATTACTGAGACATATAATAAGGAAATAGGGCTTGAAGTCAATAGAGTTGGTGGAAAGCAGTGGGTAACCTATATAACAAGCTTCTGTTAAGGGATAGCAAAACAGGCAATGGGAGATATAGTAAAATAACAAGTATTGCTAAGAGCGAGAAAGGATAGGAAGTTGTGGAGAGCCACGATCTCTCACGTACTGAAGAAATACGGAGCATAATAGAAGATATCCGGTAAATCAAATATTTTTTTAGAAATTCATAAAATTTCAAGTAGGTTAAAGAATATTTTAGTCAAAATATATTAATAACTATGAAATCGAATTGTCTAAATAATATATGCAATACTAGAAATACTTCGTCTTAAGAAAGGAAAATGACAAAAAAACTAGTCTTAATATCTACCTACTATGAAAACGCAATTGATATTGACATGACAACTGAGACTTGACAAGGAGACCGACACGTGTCTTTCGCTCGCTTGAGATTGCGTTTCCTAGGAAATTGATTACAAATCAATGAAATTTGATGATACTGTTTGGAAATTCGTATAGAAATAATTTCTAGACAAAAGAAACTAAGAGTTGTAAATATAAAATATAAAAATAAAAACTACAGGGATACTAATACACTTATCTATTCATACAATATGAACAGGAGATTGTGAAACGATTTAGTCGTTGGTTTTCCACTGCTGTGAGTGTTAATAAAGTACAAAACTAGGGTGACAGCGAAATCAAAAAATGAATAACCGAACGAAAGACCAAAAAAGACAGAAAGAAAGAAAAGCGATGAGGATGATAATGAACGCCATCAAAAAAGAAGGAAAAAGTTCGTAAAAGAAAGAAAGGAAAACAAGTATAAAAGTAAGGAATGAAAACCTAAAAAAGCAAAAGCGAAAGAACGAAAGAAATAAAGAACAACGAGGAAAATAATAATGAACGAAAACCAAAAAAGATTGCAAAACGTTCACAAGCAAAAGAAAGAAAAACGGGGAGCACATTAATAAACGAAAGCTAAAGAAGAAAGGAAATGTCCCTAAAAGAAAGAAAGAAAGAAAGAAAGAAAGAGAGAAAGAAAGAAAAACGAGAAGGAGTATAAGGAGGAAAAAGCTAAAAAAGAAATAAATCATTAACGAACGAGCGAAAGAAAGAAAGAAAGAAAGAAAGAAAGAAAGAAAGAAAGAAAGAAAGAAAGACGAGAAGGAGTATAAAGAGGAAAAGGCTAAAAAAATATCATTAACGAACGAGCGAAAGAAAGAAAGAAAGAAAAAAAGAAAGAAAGAAAGAAAGACGATAAGGAATATAAAGAGGAAAAAGCTAAAAAAGAAATAAATAATTAACGAACGAGCGAAAGAATGTAAGAAAAAAAGAAAGAAAGAAAGAAAGACGAGAAGGAGTATAAAGAGGAAAAGGCTAAAAAAAATATCATTAACGAACGAGCGAAAGAAAGAAAGAAAGAAAGAAAGAAAGACGAGAAAGAGTATAAAGAGGAAAGGGCTAAAAAGAAATAAATCATTAACGAACGAGCGAAAGAATGTAAGAAAGAAAGAAAGAAAGAAAGAAAGAAAGACAGAAGGAGGAGGAATATAAAGAAGGAAAAGCTAAAAACAGAAATAAATCATTAGCAAACGAGCGAACGAATAAAAGAAAAAAAGAAAGAAAGAAAGAAAGAAAGAAAGAAATCAAACAGTTGCAAGAGATGTAAACGGATGAGGAAAGAATCTCTAGTTTTAACTTGACGACATTACATCATTTTACGCAGATGTTTCTTCATGAATTGAAATCACTGATTCATGTCACATACAATTTTCTTTCTGTCTGGCAAGCACTTTGCAAATTTATCTCTGTTAAGTTATTCGATGATTTGTTCTCAGCCAAATTTACTTGGCTGATCTATTCACCTGCATCCTGACAACAAACTTTCGAAAACCAAATTCTCAATTTACCAGACATTCAAAACAACTATTTAATGTTTCCTTTTCTTGGAACTTATTTCGTGATTATTGTCTAAAACAAAAATGAAAGCAATGGAACTTTCTTTACCGTGAAACAAGTGTATATGAATAAATTTTAATCAATGAAGTCTTATCAGTTTAAAATCCATGCACCATCCTTCAATCAAATTCATACCCTTCTTGTAGGGTCAACGGTCAAGCCCAAAGGGATAATGTGGTATCCATAGCTATAAATGGAGCCAGTGCGGTGATGACACGGCAGAAGGTGTTTTAGGCTGAAGTCAGTAGCCAGAAAGGAGTGTTTTCTCGATTGAGTCAATGGCTATGTGTCTCTGACCAATGCAAGCCTTCAATATTTCTCCCGCTTTCAACCCAGATATGCGAAGAAAACTGATCAGGTACTCAGTATCACAGGGACCCTAGAACCACACCTAGTTATGGGAGATGATGATGATTATGAGGGTGATGATCAGGAGGAACATGTGAAAAATACGGTATGAAAATGTGCATTAATACGAGACTTTTTATTGATTTATGTGTCAATCAGGTCCGAGATTTCACGTGAGTAGGACGTTTACTTTGCTTGGATTTGTGGGCTTAAAATCTATTAATCTGAAATTTGTTAATGCTTAAGTGTAGAAAAGGGTAGGCCTAACGATTTAGCAGCACAAACACGTATTGGGATGGCCAAAGATGCATTCCAAAAGCAGAGTATTAAGTGACAGAAAAAATTCCTTAGAAACAATGAAAATAGCATTGGACTGTTACGTGATATCTCTCCTCCTGTATGGCAGTGAATGCTGGACAATCTCTCCAAAGATGAAGAGCAACAGAAAGGTGGTTCTACAGAAGGATGCTGAGAATACCATTGACCAAAGACGAGGTTTTAGAGAAAATGGAAGCAGAAAGGAAACTTATGCTTAACATCAGGAAGTGGTCGTTGAAATTTCTGAGGCACGTAATGAGGAAGGAGTGCTTGGAAAATCTGATACTCACATGATAGATCGAGGGACAGAGAAAAGCAGCGGGTAACATACTTGATTAGCTTGAGCAAATGGATAATAGGGCTTGGGAGAAGACAAAACTTATTAAGAGGTACAAGTGACAGGAAGATGTGAAGGGCCATGGTCGCCTACGTCCTGAATTTGCACGAGAAATAAAAGAAGAAGATGCAATATACTCCCAAGGAATGCAGCATATATCTACCGAAACTTCGTGATTTAAGCAACAAAAGTTAATTAATTCTATTCCAAATCATTATGAAACGTTATCTAAAAGTAATTATTTAAATTAAAATTAAAATTACACACGAGAATATCAAACCATTGCTCAAATCTTTTTAGTTTTTTTAATCTGCATTTATTTGATGAATCCAATCTGATATTGCTTCCTTCCTTTGTTTTACATTCGTTCGTTCTTTCGTCAGAAATATCTGTTTAATTTTCTATCATTAAAATATTTGCAACATTTAGAATGAGATCGTATGTCAAAAATCTGATCGCACACACAATTGGGTTTCAGAATGTGGTTTCATTAAGAAAACAATACAGATTTAATATTAATACTAGATTAAAGCTATTTACAGACATATTAGAATAATCTTGAAATAGTAGCTTTTGAAAAGATTATCGAATGACTGTTAAAGATTTTATTTTTAAAAAAATAACACGAGGCATTCAAAAAATATCCAATGCCAGCTGAAAACCAGGAAACATTTTTTAAAGCAGGAAGTTAGGAGCATTGTTCATGTCAATGCCTGTGATAGTCATTATTGTCCAATGCATCATCTGCATATATTCCCAGAGGTAAAGCCAAGATTTCGAAAGATATTTTTACTCGACAAGCACAAACTTGCCTACCTAGGTCACTGCAACACAATCATTCTGTCTACCCCACTTATCCTCAGCCAGTGGTCAGCTGTATAATCTAAGCTAAGCTTAGTAAATGCAAAAATGTCATCAAGAATTTTATTCTACACATTTCTTGATTTGAAAAGCATATGCCATCCTCAGACATAGATAATTTTTTCTCAATTTTAGGTAAAATTTCAAGAAGAAAATGAATGTGATGCTTGTCGAAATATGTTTTAAAAAGTGTATTACTATTAACAGTTAAGAATCTATTCCTGAGGATTTTATATGCTTATCGAAAGTACTTGCAGTATGGACCGAACATCTAATCCATTTTACAATTAATAAAAAGAAGGATAGCGTCGTTCAACGAGTGGTCAGTGAGTTAATGTCTTATTTAATCTGTTAGTGAAGTGAATTCGCCATTAATTACATTAACTTCATTGATTTATTCTTTGAATGACTACTTCTTTACAGTATTATTTAAGCTACATTATTTAATAAATATATATATATGTGTGTGTGTGTGTGAAGTCAGAAGAGAATCTGAATGAATGGAATATACATAAATTATTTTACGTTATATTCAAGGCACAAGAGCCACTCAAAGTAGAAGGTTAGTGAATGGAGTTGTTTTATTGATGTAGAAGTATCATTAGGACCTATAGGATAGATAACGGTTGACTAAACTTGACGAGGTCAAGACAGTAGTAATCAGGGAAGCATCCGCTCGGGAGTCTGTTTCACAAAGCAGCGACCATTCGGAAGAATTAGATTTGAATTAGGAATATGAACGTTCTATATAATATTTCTTATACATCGCTGCAAATTAGATCTCTTTCTGATTCCCTCAACATGACGACCAGATGTGAGAACTAAGAAAGCAAAAACCAAAATAAAAAGTCGTTCCCTGCACAGAGGCTCTGAGAATCACATCCGTCCCATAAAACAAATTGGCTAAAAAAATAAAATAAAATACAACATAAAAGTAGCCAATCACGTGCGTTGTCGCTATAGGTAAAACATGAGCCTGAGAGCCACCATATTTGCTTTTAAGAAATCCGCTCATAGATGACTGGCACAGTACGTGGCCAAAAACCTAGGTGTCGACACCAGAGAGCTCTTGGCGTCACCACTGTGTCTTCGGTCAACATGCACGAGACACATATCCGCTCTATAAGCACCCTCCTCTACACCACCAGACCATAGCCAAATAAACATTCTATTCGCTTCATCTGTATCCGCAAAGTAATTCAGTAATTCACTCTAGTCTTCTCTCGTTGTCTCTCTCGGTCAACAAACACTTCAACTCCAGGATATACCAACTCTAACCTTCCTACAAATCCGCCTCCCTAGCCCTACATTTAGAGACATATCAGCTCGCATCCGCTGTATTGGCAATATAAAAGAAATTTATATTTACAATTCTTGTCTTCTTTTCCTTTCGCCTCACCCGCGGTACTGTAGTTTCATTTGTTCTTCCGTGCTACCATACGTGTGTTATAGAATTTAGAAATATATTAATTAAATATCTGATTTATAAATAAATTTTAAGTTCAGAGCGTCGAGCAGAAAAGAATCACAACACAAAAGAAATTTTCGTAGCAATGTTTTATGTGTTTGATTAAGTAATTAATATAACAATAACCCCGGGAGTTTTATCACCTTTTATCAATAATATCACTTGAGTGCATTAGTTCTGTGCAGATTTTAAAGACATCTGCTGAAATTCAATATAGACAACCATCTTTTTCCCCATAGAAATGTTCAGTGAAATGTACTTTAAAACATTTTATCTTTCTAGACAATCAAATAATTTTCGTTTCTAAAGTCTAGATAGGGTTGTTAAGAAGAACACTCCTGGATATTACTTTTCATTGAAATTTAGGTGAAAACAGTTTGATTAGAGGATATGTTTGCTTCAGTTTTCATCGGTTTTGAAATTACTATAGGAAGGTGTGCTTATCGTTTGTTACTCTCAAATTTTTAATCCAGGGGTCGGTAACCTTTTGCTAACTGTTTTCCAACTTAGGGTTTTAAAATCATTCAGTGAGCCAACAGCATACGTATTTTTATACAAGTCAAGGTTAATATACCTGTTCTACAATATATTTTATATAGTAATATATAGTATATATACTTTAGTATATATTAAAATTGAAAAAGCAAAATATCTCCTTTGCCTTGTAGTAGTTATTGGTTCGGACTTCGTGATGTCGTTTGTGTCTGTGTGCCTTTGGGAATTGCTTGGCGTGGAACGCGTGCCGTAGGTTGCCGACCCCTGTCCTAGGACACTCTTGAGGCTCTATGCCAGACTAAGTTAAGCGTAGTAGTTATAATAGTGCGCTCTTGATACCCAGTGCCAGATTAAGTTAAGGGTAAAAGATATCCTAGTAGATGCCTAGTAAACTGTTTGCTAGTGAAATGAGTTTCAGTGTCAGAGAACTCCACTCTTAAAGCCCTGTGCCAAGCCAAGACAAGCCCGTTGCCAGTGTGTTTTGAAGGACTGGGCAGTTTTTAAGTTTTGGTTTCAACAAGTAGAAATTTGCACTAAAATTATTTGCACTAAATTTGTACTAAAACTAATATGTGCCAACTTAGGTTTTTAAAATCATTCAGTGTGCTAACAGCATACGTATTTTTATACAAGTCAACGTTAATATACCTGATTTACAATATATTTTGTATAGTAATATATAGTATATATACTTTAGTATATATTAAAATTGAAACATCTAAATATCTTCTTTGCTTTGTAGTAGTTATTGGTTCGGACTTCGTGATTTCATTTGCGGCTGCGTGCCATTGGAAGTTGCTTGGCGTGCTACGTGTGGCACGAGTGCCATAGTTTGCCAACCCCTGGAATAGATGATGCGACTGGAAATTTCTTCATAATATAATAATCGAGTGTGTTAAAAAAATCTGAAGAGTGGTTGAATTAGTCTATAATTTATTTTTTTTAATGAAAGAATGATATGTAAACATACGGCTAATTATACAATGAGAGTTAAAATATTTTTCTTCTCTAAAAACATTTACCGCAAATAAAAGAGCATACACTTTATTTGTTATTCATTTTTTTCATGGCTCATCTGTCGTTGCTTTTTTTTTAATCAAGTTGGATTAAAAAGAGCGAAAGTTTCTGTCCTGAAAAGAACATTTGTTTTTGTTTTTTTTTTTGTTCTTTTCGTTTAGCAGCTCAATGTTTTTAACTTTTAAACTCTCTAGTCTGTGCTTGTATTCAAATTTACATTTCTACACGACAGCTGCAATGGCTTACTCTTTTTCAATCTGATCATAAAGACTACATTCCCAATGTTCTTTTCCCAGCCATATCTTTTACATTATTTTTTTTTTAAAAATAAACGAGAAAAAAACTTCACATTACCGACCAAAACATTTTAAATTTTATGATTCGAGAATTTCAAAATTAAGCGGATTATATCTTTAAAGAATTTTTATTATCTGTACTAAATCCGTTTCACAAAGCAAAATAATCATTTTCTTATCACTGGAAAAAATGTTAAGAAATTCCCATGAAAATAAATAACCGAGAGAATATAATAAGTATATTTACCGTGGACAAAAGGTCAGTTTTTAACCTGGGGAACCCGAACGCGCACACTCGGGCCAAGAACAAAAATTCCCCGAGCCCCAGCAACCGTCGTTTGAACTTGCCTCGGTGCGAGCAGCGATCCTTCTCTCTAGTGCTATGAGAAGGTGCAGCCTTGGTCATCTGTTCCCGAGGGCTGGACACCTCAAAGTGTGATTTTCCTCAGTTGCGCCTCTGTTCTCTAGCGGAGCCGCAACCGAGCCGCACTCTGCCCGAAGACAGAGACGCAACTAAGAGATGATAAAAGTACTGGTGTTGGAATTATTTCAAAAATTAATAAGCGAAGATTGGATGATTATTATAGACCCGAGAATACAAGGCCACAATTTTGGAAGACCTAATAAGAATTGAACTCATTACAGCAATGGTAGGCAAGACGAGAAGTGTCAAGGACTAGCTCTCCTATTACTAAGTTTGGCTTAGTTTCATACATGAGTACAAGTGTAGGATACCCAGGGCAGATCGGATTAACTGCACTGTTATGGTAATTTACCCACGCACGCATGGACTCTACCAGCTATAAATAGGAGCAGTTACTGCCTTTTGGAGGGTGAAATTTTCAGCAGTCAGCTATGACAGTCGGACTGAACATTCTTGATGTAAGACTTGTTTATATATGTTTGTATTACTGTTTCTGTTAATATATTTGTTTAACTCAGTTCATCTTTTTGTGTCTTTATTTCTGAACCTAACAAGTCCACAACATGCATTAATAATGATTTTTAAGAGGTTTTCTTTTTTAAAAAAAAAACATCGTTTGACGGCTTTGATATTTGTTGAGTACGACATTTGCGAGAACTAATCTCAGTACAATTGAAATGGTTTACGATAGGAGCTTCTTAAGCATTTTCTCACGCCGTAGC